GGCTGTGAATTTTGAGGTGAATTTTGATCAAGTCCTAGGAATTTTCGAATTGATCTGTGGATGCCCCATGATTGGGTAACTATAGGGATAGGAAATGCTTGGGCGTACAAACTCCCTTTGTGATCCTTGTGTGATTGAGGGCATTTCATTTATTTTTTTTCCTGTTTAGTGTTTCTTTCCCTATAGTAAATACAGATCACAATATTTCCACGTTCATTATTATAAAATGAATGAAGCAGATGTGCTACACATAAAGTTAGTAAAACACAACAAGTATGTAGAGGATGTACAAATTAATAGATAAAAGTCTACAGCACATGTAAAATGGTTGACATGAATATGGTGGTTCACGCTGTAATCCCAGGACTCAGAGAGACTGAGTCAAGTGCCTAAGGAGAGTCACATGGAGAGAAAACATTCTCTCAGGCTTTCACAGAGAACAAATTGGACAAGCAATGGCCATGACTCATCCACATGGCTAACACTGACAAAGATCTACAAAGTGAGGTATAGGGTTTCAGGATAAATCCTGAGGGCACTTGACTGACCTTATCAGATACAAAAGTTCCATTTCTTGTTATATAGGTCTTGCTTTATCTTAGTCTTAACCATCCAGCAGAAAGGTATAAAAACAAGGCATAAGGGATGAAGCCATGTTGGTATGCTGGGCGGTAAGGGGCTCAGGTCAACAACTGCTGACATTGTCAGTCCTGTGCATGACCCACTACTATGATGGACTAGTGGACTATATTGGAGCATTTTGCTGAATCCGTGCACCTAAAATATTTAAGTGACAATCAAATGCCCTTCTCTGACAAAACTAAACAAAAAAGGGGATACAAATTCAATGAATAAGAGGATTTGTTCTAATAGTGTTTATGGACAGGATGTCATGTCTTCATCTTGTACAATGAATAACCATTGCAACAACAATGTGCAATGTATTTATTATTGAAACTGTCCTACTGATCAGTTTTGAAACCGTCTCATTGCTATTTGTTTCTCAATAAAATTATTTTAAAAAAGAGGGATACTGAGGCAAAAGGGTCACAAGGTTGAGCCCAGTCTGAGTAACTTAGAGATCTTGCAAGATCCTGTCTCAAAAAAAAAAAAAAAAAAAAAAAAGTAATGTAAGCAGAGGCAGCAGGACTCAGCAACTCTTGGAAATGATCCGAATGCCCATCAACTGAGGAATGAATAAAAAAAAAGATATGGTACTTTTTCAAAATGGGATATTAGTCAGCTATAAAAAAGATTAATTTGAGGCTTTTGTAGGTTAAATGGATGCAGTTAGAGACTGTATTGATAAGTGAAGTGAATGTGGTCACATGTGCAAACATCATATCAACTTGCTAGTATGAGAGCCTGAAAGAATAATGAAAATCTAAAAGGAACAAGAGATGCTATGACAGGGAAAGAGACTGCTCCATGGGAAGGAACAACCTGGATGAGAAAAAGGACAAATGAAAGAAAGGAAAAAAAGATATGTTTAGGTAGGTATGCAGGACAGTTTGGATAATTGTATTGTTAATTTCTGCAGGTCTTTTCAAAGGAGCAGTTCATACTTAAAATTGTAACTTTTTTACTCTGACTTTTTTCTCTTTTGAATTTCTTATAATTTCTTTGCCATTGTTTTGGGGTTTTTGTTTATGTTGTTTGTTTGTTTGTTTTTTCTTTAAATGAATCTTAAAAAGGGCCGGCCAGATAGCTCAGTGGATTAAAGTGACTGCTTAAGCAGGTGCAGAGGCTGGGTTTCGAGCTCCGGTGTGCTGTGCTGGCCCCATCACCAGGGTGCACGGAGACGGGGCATGGTAGCATGGGCCTGTAATCCCAGTGCTTGGGAGGCTGAAAACAGGAGAACTGGCGTGAGTCTGAGCTGCATAGTGAGACCCTTTAGACCCTGTACTAAATACATTTTTAAAAAATGAATCTTACATGTTTATTGGTAATCTGAACAACTAATCTGAGGATATCATCATTTAATATAGCAATTATTGTTGAATTCCTATTTGTTCAGTGAAATTTTGCATCATTTTTAATTCTGTTTTTTTCTATCACTATTTTGTATTCTTTAAAAATAAAAAATCAACAGATAGTAAAAATACCTGGGGATATAGATCAGTGTAAAAGTCCGGAAATTAATCTCCTGTACAAGGAAAAACAGTAGTCACTTCAGCACCATAATTGGTAGAAAAGTGCATGAAAACATGCTCAATAAACAATGAAGATTTTTTTTGTTTTTATTTTTGTGTTCACTTGTTATTTGGTTCAAAATTAGAACAGCTGATGCTCCATAGGACTGGCTAAGGCATACGGAATTGGATGCGATCCTGCACTATTCATGGAAGTGTGAAAAGATGAGGTTTTGGAAGGGACAGTTTGGCAGTTCCTACTGAAATTCCAAATATTCACGTCCTTCCACCAGGTGCTCTAAGTGCTTCCTGCTGAAGAAGAAGTCACAGTGCAGGCGAAAGATGTCAGTGGGGACATTTGAACAGTGTTCCTTTAAAACAGAATTATTAAAAACATCTAAACATCCACTGAGATTGCAATGTTCAAACAGTTATTATTCACACCCTAGAATATTAATAGTTTGCAAATTTTGAGATTGGTCTCTGTGGATTAAAATTGAAAAACATCCAAGACATGTTAGGTGGGCAAGTGTGCAGAGTGATCCAGTGTGTGCTCCCATGAGTGTAAGAAAGCTACTCTGCGCACATACTTATACACATAAAATTCACAGACGTTATCAATAAATTACTGTGCCAAGCACAGAGCCTGGCTGGGAATGGACCTTGATCACAATAAGCCTCTTCCTCCTATTTAGTGGGGGACCTAAAGACTGGCCTAAATGGGGTGCAGATCAGCGAGCTCTAGGGCACCGCAGTGAGAGGAGCTAACCTCTCCTCTTGTGTTATTTTCATACCTGGAGCAGAGAGCATAAACAAGTCATCATCAGGGTCAATCAGAAATTTCATCAAGAATGATTTAGGATCAAGACACTTGGCAAAAAGAGTAGCTGTCAGCCATGCAGGTAAAGTGAAATGGGGGACTGTGGCAAGCAATTTCTCGAAAATCTCTGACCTCCTTCTCTGAATTCACATTGGCGACTTGGTTCCCTTGATTACCAGATCAAGCTATAACTCTTGCTAAGTCTAAGGAAAGAAGGTTAATCAAGAGCCCAAGGCTCCGACCACACCCTTGCTTCACAGGTGTTTCTGAGACACCATCTAGATGCCAGGCAATGTCTGTGGGCAGTGGAGAGAGTGAAAAGATGAGTGTGCCTCGTCCCAGGCAGACTTGAATGTCCCACCCCACCAATAAACATTTTATTGAGAAATTCAGAGCAAACCAGGCCAAGACAAGGAGGTACACAGAAAAGATCAGGGCGCTTGCAGGGCTCTCCTCATGGGCAGACGTATAGACTTTAACTCCTGAACAGGTAGCAAGTGTGATGAAGAGGGCAGTTGAGTCAGGCAGAAAAATAATGCGAGTGGTGTGACGGAGAAGCTAGGCGTGCTGCGGTAATGCGAGATAACCCGGACGTGCTCACTGAAAGTGAGAGCGCCACAGGACTGTAGAAGGAGGAAGTCCAGGGACAGGAACTTGCACATAATTTTGCTTGAGAAAGGACGGAGGAAAAAGAATGAAAGAGCCTCAAGAGGGTTGGCCTGTATTGCGGGACCAGGGAGCAAATACTCGGGGAAATAACAGAGATGTCACTGCAAAGAGCGCCACTGTAACGGTACCCTGGGCAGGCGATGGGCTGGGGTCAGACAAGGCATGGAGGCGTGTTATCCACAGAAGCTGAGCGCGGCCCAAGTAGGCTATGTGTGCCAGGCACTGCCAGAGAGATTGTGAAACAGTGTGAGGGATGCTGCCAGAGATGCCAGGTTCAGGAGTTTGGCAGTTAGAGATTCATGGAAGAGGCCTGACCTGGGGTTGACTGATCAGGGGTGAAGATGAACACGGGGACAGGAGAGTGGGGCCGCCCCTGCTGGGGTGCACAGAGTGCGGGGCAGAGTCCGTGGGGACAGCCTTTCCTCCCGATGATCGTCCCGTCCGTCCGGTTGGAGGGTCCGACAGGGCTGCTGTGTCCTGACCCTCCCTCCCGGCCAGGGTTTGCACTGTGCCTGCAGATTGCTTTCCAGGAAATGCACGTATTTAAGGAACTCAGAGAAAAAGCTTCTGCTTAGTAACAGAAACTTGAATGCATCGAGCTTTATTTATTTGCTGCTTCAAATCCCATCATTACATCGATCCGAAGACAAGCCTAATCACTGCTGTCAAAAATCTCCAAGAGTCTATTTTTCTCCCCAACAAACCTTTTACAAAGTGGCTAAAGCTCAAACTAGAAAAGAAGCTGCTTATTTCTCAGAACATTTGAGGGAAACTTTACATTCCCATACAAAACAAAATTAAATTTGAAGATTTATCTATATAAATAATAGATAATGGTGAAAAGAGAATGAACCAGTTCAAAAGGAAGCAATTACTGAGATGAGGAAAAGGACAGGAGAGGAAATGCAGGAGGTGATGTACCTTTGTGCGTGAGCAGGAGGGCTTGGATTAGTGCGCTGTGGCTTTCTGCTGGTCTGCAGAAAGGAGCAGCTAATACGTAATGGGTTCTTTGTTTTCTTGTCTTTTTTCATTTCTTCATCTCATTTTAATTTCTTATATTAACTCTTTTCTTTCCTTCTCCAATTTGCATGCATATATCTGGTAACCTGAACAACTAATTGGGAGACAACACTATACAATAAAACAAACACCGCTGAATTCATATTATTTTGTTTAATGAAATTCTGTATCATTTCTTTTTTTCTCTTATATTACTATTCCATACTCTCTTTAAAAAATAAACTTTAAAAAATCAGTTCTAAAACATAGGCAGCTCTCTTCAAAAGGACCTTCCCAAAGAAGCCCTCAGAGGAATGAATTCTTGCGTGACCCCTGCTGATTGTTTCTGACTGCTAAAGCGTGCTGTTTGGAATTTGCAGGTATGAACCTAAGCAAAAGTGAGATAATGAAAGAAACGTCGCTGAAGCCGTCCCGGAGATCCCTGCCTTGCCTTACCCAGAGCTTCGCTCACTCACACAGCCTGTGCCAATCTACCTCCCTCTTCCAGTCAACCGAGAGCGAATCTCAGGCTCCCACTTCGGTGACCCTGATCTCTGCAGACAAAACAGAGCCAGGTGGGCAACAACGCTTGATTCCTTGTTTAACATATGCAGTGAGTGTGCATCTCACTCTTTTGTCATCTGACTGGTACTGATGGAACCGTGCCAGAAGGAGTCTGCTGCGGGGTGCAGACAGCCCCTGGAGAGCCGAGCAGGAATGCCTTCATGGGTCCAGTGTGGTCCTCTTCCTCCTTTGCCTTGTGGGTGGCCAGTCCCATGAGAGCCTGCACCGGGCACCTGCTCTTGGCAGTGAGGACAGACTATCCTCATGAGTCATCGACTCAGGGGCCACTGTTGGCCCCTCTGTGGTTAGGACATGCCACTCTTGTGAGAGCTCAGAACCAGTGTTCATGTGGAAGATGGCACAACAAAGGCTTCAGTTTCCTCACATGAAAAACTGAAATTTTTAATTTGTACTGAGCATATACCAAGGAAGATGTAGTCAGGTAGCATGAACTGGTGTTGGCATCAAACACTGTCATGCTGGGACTAAAACTTGGAGACAAACCAGATAGATGCTACATCCAAAAACACAACTTTGGGGCACACGTGGCCCACACTGCTACAAATTCCAGCTCATGAGACAAACCAGTAAGCCTGGGACAGCCTAAATGCCAGAGTCATGTGACCACGGTCCCTGTCATGCAGGGGGCAGGATGTGGTTTCGTCTCCTCCTTCCTTTCAGGCTTCTTCCCATAAAAGTCTCTTCCCTTGTGAGGACTTTGGGCACCTTGTTCTCCTAGTTAACTTGAAAATATCAACATTGTCTTTAAAGTAACACGGCCAAAATCACTGTATTTTTAGTTTATTTATAGCCATGTGCAGTAGGGAAGGTTGTAACTGCTCAACAGCATGAAGAAATTAAAACATAACATTTTCATTATCAAGAATAAACTTTAAGTAACTAATTTCAATTCATTCACTTAAAACATCTATTCATGCTTAGCTACCACAAAACATTAAACACCATGGTAATTTCTGCTTTTATGCTTTAATTTCCCCAAACAACAAACTTTGTTATTATATTTTCAGTTAACCCCGAGGAGAACCACAAAGACTCTCCGCTCAAATGTTCCTTTGCTGATTTCAGCGATTTCTGCTTGGGTGAGTTGATTTTCAATATTTGCTTTTTCATTTTCAATATTTTTGAAATTTTCAATAATTTCCCTTTCATTTCCCTTCTCTGCGAAGGTAAGCTGTGTTCTCCAAACATAGAACGTTTTTTAAGAAAGCAAAATCATCTTTAATAATTAAATTTTGCTGTATGATCATAGTACTCTGAGTTTATAATTATTAAAGTATTACTTATTTTGAAATTCAGGTATAGTATTTTGAAAATCAAATAACAACTGTTAAAATTCAAACAACAGTATTACAATAAAATATTTTTGCATTAGCATCCTTGAAAATTCTTGTAATTATATATGAATAAGTGCATTTATATGGCAATTTCTACATTTAGAAAATTTTGGAATCTAATATTTGCAATGAAGGTAATGTCGACACTCTACCCTGCCCCTCCATTTCTAAATAATATAAATTTTACTTATTGTTTTCCAATACAATCTATTTATTGTTTATTACTATTGCTTATTGTCACTGTAACAGTGACAGCTTATTGAGTCTCTTTTGCCTTTTCATGTGATCTCATGGTATTTGCTTCAGCTGAGCAAGATGTGTAGTCAGGTTTTCATGTGCTGTCCTTTCTCATGAACAAAGGCTTTGAACTGGCACTTTTTCTTTTTTATAAATTCAGGAAAAATAGTATTGCTGTAGAGTTAACTCGAGGAACAAAATTAATAGAAAATATGTGTCTAATCCAACAAGGAGATATATTAGGTAGGCTCACGGGATCAGAGGCAGGAGAATCCACAAGGACCTTCTTTCTGGATGCTGGACAAACAAGAGATCGGGGGCTGCTCGGCAGCAGATGGAAAGAACAGAAAAGCAGGCTCCTGAACAAGGGGGATCAAGGATTCAGTGCCAGTCCAAGGTCAGAAGCCTGGAAGCTCCGCAGAGACTCATCGGGGTGAATCGGCATCAGAAGGAAACTGGAGGCCAGGAGCCCAAGGTCTAAGGAGGACAGCAGCAGAAGATGCACCTGCAGCAAGCTAGAGCTCTTCAAAATGGGTGTGCTTCCTGCTTCTGCCCCTTGTACGCAATCCAGGCTGCAAGCACATGGCTGGTAGCACCCATGGCTAGGGTGGGCCTTCCTCCCAGCTTGCGCATCTGTACATCAGACATCCATCAGTCACACCCTGAACTTGGCTGTACTAAACTGCTTGGCGTCTCTTACTGTAGTCAACCTGACATACCACAATTACGGTGACTAACATAAAGCCAGAAATATTTGAGAAGTTATTCTGATTTGAATGAAGATTTATTTTGTATATCCAGAGTGAATTTATTTACAGCCAGCAGAAATTACTCTTTAAGTTTTCAGAACTGAAAACATTACTGTTTGGGCTACCCTGCCAATCTCAGGTGGGCGCAGTCTGGTTGCATATTCACACCTCTAGAGAGCTCGCCAAGTTCTCTGTCCCACATCAAGAGAATCAGTTTTAATTTGTGTAGGAAGTCGATGGAGAAGCTATACTTTTTTACTGTTCACAAGATAAATAGCGCAGGTCCAGGTCTAAAAATAACTAGGCTAAAGTTTATATCTTGTTCCTTTCCTGAGCATATTATTTTATTAAGATATTACCTGTTTTTAAAGCTGTATGTTGGATTATTTATAACAACATTCTGAATGGCTATAAATTAGCCATGTATCTTATAAAACTCTGTGTGTGTTTGTGTGTGTGTGTGTGTGTGTGTGTGTGTGTGTGTGTGTGATAGAAACAACCTGGCTTACTTAGTATTCTGATTAAAGCCTCTGAAATGTTCATTGCATATTTACAACATCAAAAGAATATTTTATTTTTAATAATTTTATTGAGAAACAAATAGCAATGAGACAGTTTCAAAACTGATTAGTAGACCCAGTCCTAGCCCAGGCTTGGTGAGTGTGTGGGAGAGCTTCTGACTACCCTGCGCCAGCAGGACCTACTGGTCCCAGCCCAGGTGCAGCGTGGGTGAGACCCTCTTCCACCCCCTTGGGACACCCTGCACCACTCCACAGCAACTCCCCCACCCGGCCCGCCAAGTAGGAATTTCTGCTGTATACCAGGAACACCCAGACCTATTCCTAGCCCAGGCCAGGTGAGTGTGTGGGAGAGCTTCCGGCTACCCTGCGCCGGTGGGAATTATTGGTCCCAGCCCAGGTGCAGCGTGGGTGAGACCCTCTTCCACCCTCTTGGGACGCCCCGCATCACTCTGTAGTACCCCCCACCCCACCCACCAAGTAGGAATTTCTGCCGCGTTCCGGGAATCCCCAGATCCAGTCCTAGCCCAGACCAAGTGAGTGTGTGGGAGAGCTGCCTCTCTCCCCTACTCCATCTTGTCCCCTCCAGACTCTGCTCAGGCCTCGCATACAGGCCTGGATGAATCCCTGCAGCTTCAATCCCTGCAGAGAGTGTAGGGGACAGAACCACACAGCTAGTCCAGGAGCAGAACATCTTGCCAGAGGGGCACAACAGGTTCAACCCAAGAGCAGCAACAGGAA